AGCTCTAGGCGGCCATCAGTGGGGGTCCCAGTGTATTCATTGGTACACATTATATGCACATTTAGAAAACAGTCCTAAGAAAACATGCACACTGATTGGTTAAAAATTGTGTTTCTACGACTCAATAGAAACACAAAACTAGCAGGAGCTGTTGACGTAATGATGGTGTAAGCAAAGAGAATTTACATTTTGATAATCAAAGTTAACAAGTTGTTTTCCTTTTTTCGTCGCGGTGTTTTCTAAAAGAAACAGAAGACATGTTCTCTATGTTTCTATCGCGTTATAGAAACACTCGTGAAAGTTTGGGAGAGTATGAGTAGCCAAAGGTGGTGAAATATACAAATTATGTACACCTGTAGCTACATTTTTAAGTCCTTTTTTTTCTGTTTTCTCTTTTTTTTTTCGTATTTTATTAGATACCTTACTGCTTGTCAATTGAATTAAAATGACTTGTAAGGCACCCAGCTGTATCACATAGCCACCCCCATTAAAAGTAAAGCTTTTCCCAACCTGTCTGTTGTATCCAGTTTCTTCTTTGGCTTCTTCTGCTGCTCGTTCACTGTACACATCACAGATTTCCTATACATAGCAAACATAGTTTTAAAAAAGTTAATTTTAACGACAACAATGACAATCTGTAATGAAAATTTGGATTGCCTACCTGCCTGATCAATTTTTTAATCGATTGACTGACTAACTGACTGACTGATCAATTCTTTGATGGATTGACTGACTAACCGAGCGATCAATTCTTTGATTGATTGACTGACTGTCTGACTGATCAATTCTTCAATCAATTGACTGACTAACTGACTGATCAATTCTTTGATTGATTGACTGACTGACTGACTGATCAATTCTTTGATCAATTGACTGACTAACCGACTGATCAATTCTTTGATTGATTGACCGACTAACTGACTGATCAATTCTTTGATCAATTGACTGACTGACTGACTGATCATTTTCACTGCATTGTGTTCTTATTATATTATAAGTAACACTTAATAACTCTCTCACTCTCAGTTAGCCATGGCAACCTCAAAAATACTTTGGGATAACCTGCGATGGACTAGAAAAACCCAGCTAGAGTGGAACAGCTGTACCACTAGTTATAAAATGCTAACTGAGACTATTACATTTTATAGTGTGGGACAGTTGGCCTGAGTGACTATAACTTGTGATAAGTGGACAGAGTTATAATCTGCCTAGTAGCTCAGCTCCATGTACCTTAACTCTGTCCTTGCAGTTTTCCTCATCTCCAGGTACAATGGCCAACGTGTGAACAAAATAATCTGCAGGGTTAAAGTTCATGGGGCAAGGATACCCAAGGCTGCAACATAAAGTTGAAATAACAAACTTGAGGTACACTGTACATGTGGATGCCCACTTTGTAGCAAAATGAAAATTATGGCTGAATGGTCATATGGTTGAATGCTATAGATTATTACTGGCTTGAGGCAATCCCATAACAAAATTTTGGACAGACTTGCTACTTTATTTCAAATCTGGGCTGGCTAAAAGCCTCCAAGCCAAGAGAGATGATACCTGCATTTTAAAGGTGAGGTTGTCATCTTAATTGACCAATATGCAAATTATTGCTAACACTAAACAGTATAATTGCAATGCATAAATTTTCATCCAGCATGCATGCAACATTAAGCAATATTTGCAACTTGAGGCCCATGGCTCAGCTTGGTGCCTGCAGCCCAATCATGATGATCACAGCCTGCATGTTTTCACAAAACCAGTTATTTCAATAAGAAAAAGAAAAAGGTGTAATAGACAGTACCTCCTAAAGTATGATAAGGCTTCAGCTGTTGAGCCCATGTATGCTGTCCTCCCTTCAGCCAACAGTAAAATACTGAAAAACAAGTCAGGATGAAATCCAATGAATGTCAACTTTAAACACCATTTTGTGCTTACAGTGTGCAGTGTTAATAACTACAAGCAATCTACATGCAATCTTTCTACTTCAAGTACTAAGCATTTCCCTATGTTGAGAGTTAGATGGTACATAATTCTAATCAAGACAACTGATGGAGGTTTCATTTTGTAGACTTTACCTGTCAAACATGGCATAAACTTCAGACGAGGGTTGATGTATAGTGCACATGATGGTTCGACCACTGGCTGCAAGACGCTGAAGTGAAGCTATCAAACTCTGAGCCATGAATGCATCAAGACCAGATGTTGGTTCGTCAGCAAACAGTAATGGAGGATTGGTTAGTACCTGGAAGTTTGAAGAAGTCAGCGATTTAATCAATGCATTTTTATAAATGTTAACTTGCTTTGAAGATAAAGTCAAAAATCCTGTAAGGGGATGCCCTTGGGGAAAAAAATAAATAAAAGAGTCTGTTTAGGACAGGTGTTGGTCCACCCTTTAAGTTCCTTGTCTTCTCGTGGAGAACAGGGCTGGAAATTGCATGCTCCTCTTAGCGACTCTGTCCGCTAACTTCAGTCCCTTCCCTGCTCAAGAGTTCAAACCCATCATCCTCTATGTTCTCTCTCCATTGCGCTTCCCCTTGTTTCACTGGGTCTTACTAGCTGTTGTGTTTCACTCCCTTCAGGTGCCCATGTCCCTATTGGGAGGCCACTGTTATCCATACATTGCACATGCATTATCCATGTCCACCTCCGTCACCATACTTGCATGTTCATTGGTGGTCTGGGCATAATAATTATTAGCTCCCCTGCACTTCACCTCTCACCTCTTCACCTCCTGTACCTCGGTCTGTCTCATTTGACTTATGCTGAAAGGTATTAAGTCTTACATGCTGGATCATCCTTTCACCCTTTTTCGAGGTTATGGGAAGTTACTGAACAACTGTATACATGTACATTGTCATGTTCGTACATGTACTGAGACTTCAAAGACCAATGCCTGTTTTCAAGAGATGTCTGTATGCAGGAGATCCCCTATGTGGCAGAGGTTTGATTGTATTAGATAAACTTCACAGTTAGCATACATAAAATTAATTACCTCTGAAGCAAATGCTAATCGTTTCTTATCTCCACCAGAAATTCCTCGCAGTCTACCTGGTATACCAATGACTGTGTCGGCACACTTCTTTAATCCAAGCTAATTAATGAAAAAAAAAAATTAAGCCAAATAAATCTTTCTGAAATTCTCAGGGGATATTTTTTTTGATACAGTACAATATGTTTACAATCAAGTAGAAACATCTCAACATGTACAATGAGAGACACAATAACATTCAACATACTCCAAACGTCTGACTGCACTTTTACAAGGTTCTCACTCTTTAAGGCTTTTAAAATTCCATGATTTTCAATGACCTTTCAGAGTTTTCCATGACCAAAGTTAAGCAGTTTTTCTCACAGCAGTATCAAAACAATCACTTATTTAATGTATTTTCCAGCATTATAATGCATAAAAAGTTTGCTTGTGTCTATTTCTACTGAATTTAAAGCCAGTTTCTGACTTGTCTGTTATTTTTTTAATTTTTAAAATATCTTTTTTGCCACGCTCATTGCTTTTCCATGACTTTCCATGACCTAGACTTTTAAGAGTAAAATTCCACGACTATCCAGGCCTAGAAATTGAAATAACAATTTCCTTGACTTTCCAGGCCAGGAAATTGAAATAACAAATTCCATGACTTTCCAGGTTTTCCATGACCTGTGTGAACCCTGTTTTATGATGTAGAAATTATAATGCAATGTGATCAGTTTAGTGAGGAAGATGTGCTCAGATAAAATAGCAAGAAACAGAATAAGGGCAGGGCCACTTGTTGACAAGAAACACAGTTGTCAAAGGCAGTGGAATGTTATTAGAATGGGTGTGACACTTTCTAGAGGTAGGGAGTAATAATTCAATTTGTTGCAGTTGCAAAATATACAACGTAGAGCAGAGAGATCCCAATAAAGTCCATCTCTATGGATCTGGCTGTTGACCATTAAATTTGTTATACATGTATCTGGTCAATTGTCAAATATAAAAGGTACAGAAGGTGGGACTGAAAAGCTAAACACTACTCTGTATTATCAATCACAAAACCATCATGAAGTGTACAACTACAATTACATTTATAAGCCTATATCAACACAAGTGTAACAAATAGACTATAACATTATTTTATCCAATTTATGAATTAAAAGAATATTACATGTTAATACATGCACTGCCAGCTTCAGGTGTAATCACTTCTAAAAATATATTAATTACTATTATTAATTAGTATCTAATTCTACAAGTATACTAATGCAAATGCTGCAATCTGATTGGCTGAGCCACTTGTATACTATCAGCCATAATAGTTCACCACTAAATTTTCTCCGATTCTTATTGGTTTGAATTGATCCTGTGATGCGATAGTGTTCATCCGCGGAGAGACACTATCAGCCCATAGTGCCCGTATGACGAAAATTACGAAAATGGATAGTACTTGTCCGTGAAAATATTTCTGTTAACAAGCGGGCTTACAGAAAGTAAAGAATTGAAATTGTATTAAAAGGGTTTTTGTTTGTTTTCTTTTTCAAATTTTACATTTGCCTTGAAATCACGGCTTTCATCTAAAAAAGTTGAATAAAAATATGATTTTTGAACTGGCACGTGGAAGAAAATTTAGTGGTGAGCAATAAAGAGAATAGGTCTGATGGTTGCCCCTTGGAAATTTGATGTTCTTAAAACTAGCATATTTGCCCTCGAAGCTTTGCTTTTCAGGCAAATATTTGTTTTAAGAACATCAAATTTCTGCGGGGCAACTACCAGCGGATAGTTCCTTGACAGAAACACTCTATTGTTTAATTAGAATGCAGTAACTGTTGGTCGTCCATGAAATGTGATGTTTTTATTGTTTTTCCGAAGTTTTGGAAGAGAATTTAGATGTAAATGGATAATTAACTTCCTGAGAAGACTAAAAGGACATAAATTGATTCTTGACTTAAAAAAAACTTGAAATTATTGAAAACTGGTGCACACACATGAACAACTGCAAATTTACCAAGGACAATTCAATACGTACGATTTTGTTAAAGCGTAAAGTTCAATAATGCGTCAAAAAATATTTGGAAACCATTATTTGCATTAATTTAAGTTAGAATTCTACTAAAACAATTACATTATTTGCTCTTGATTTCTATGAGGCAATAGTTGATTTGACCTTCAGCCTCATCAACTATCATCTCATAGCAATCTCAAGCTCATAATCTAATTGATAATTATAATAATTGCATTCCTACCTCCAATATGACCTCCTCAATTCGTTCATTTCGCCTCTCCTTAGGAGTGTGTTTATCCATACGAAGAGCAGCCTACAAAAAAAGAAAAAAATTGCAAAATTTATTGTAACACACAGTTCATTGCAAGATTTGACTGCTGTGGCGGATCTGGGGGGAGGAGGTGGTGGGGGCCCCAGGGGGCCCCTTACTTTGGGTAAAAAAAAATTGCAGAAGGAAGAAAGCTGGCAGGGCAAGCAATAATACATGTACCAGTTCCCCCTCACTTAGCTCAAGTCTGGCTCCACCAATGGACTTTGCCTTCCAACATGAAATCTATACCACAGTGGTAATCAAAAGCTCAGTTTAATTATTAGTTTGATCTCCATCCAGCGATCTACTAGTGAATTTGGACAGTTCTGTCAGGGTGTGTTTAAAACACGAAATGACAAAATGTCACTACAGTTAGCCTAAATAGCACTCAGGTTAGCCTTAATATCCCTGAATTGAAGGTGATTAGCTCTCAAAAATGATATGCATTGGGTCAACCGTATCCCACATTGTTAAGTGCCATTTTGCCATTTTTGTGTTTTGAACATGCCTGTTCTGATGCGCTGAATAATCTTTTACATAAATTTCATAAATTCCCAATTCAACTTCTGTACATACATTACATTTTGAAATAACTAATATATTATTATATCAAATAACAACAATAATCAGAAAAATTGCTGCCGAGTTGATTTGGTTGTTACATGTACTTCTCTGGCTCCCAACTGGAACCATTAAAGAATGAATATCACTATTTAGAATTTTCATGTTGACTATGCACTATATATAGAGGGTTTACAGGGTTCACTAGATACCTCTATAACTATTGCTATCAAAGGAGGGAAATACCTGAAACGTCAGATGCTCCCGAACTGTCAGTGATCCAATGAACAAGTCTTCTTGTTGGATATATGCTGACAATGCATTGATGTCAATGCCAGTGGGTTGCCCATTCACTGCCACTGTTCCAGTCACTTGCACCTGGGCAATGTTACGATGTGCTAACACATTCATAAGGGTAGATTTACCTGCTCCACTGCACCAAAAAGAAAAAAAACATTACTCAGCACCTGCCTCCTGACCGTTGCCTTATCCTATTTCAGGTGAGGTAAAGTCTGTTTGAGCCTGGTGGCCTACGAGGCCCGAGTACATGGCTCTGTTTACTATAGCATAAAGTAACTAGGGTCCCACCTGGATGGGATGCTAGTCCATCACAGGGTTACCCCCAGCATTCAAAATTTACTGGTACCCATTTAATATATAATTAATGTGACCTGGGTGGAGAGAGGCACAGTGGGAATAGATATCTCTCCAGCCTCAATAAAATTCATTGTTGTTGTTTAATAATATTTACGAAATTAATGGATTATACTAAGCTTAGGAATTATTCCAAAGGACATACAGATATTGATAATTATTTATTTTGTAACAGTATATTTTGTACCTTGACCCCATGACAGCCAACAATGATCCAGCCTCAATTTTTCCACTAACTGATAAAGGTAAAATAAAAAATAATTATATGTTTCAGCCAAACTACTAGCAAAAAAAGCTCATTATTATTTTCAAGCCTTAATTTATACCTAGATTTTTCTTATCCTTCAAAAATATCATTCACACAAAGGTTCTCAAATCACTACATCCTGTGACCAAGAAGGTAAAATGGACTGAACTGGAAGTTTGAAATTGCAGTGAACTTTTAATTAACGGATAATATTATTGCATTTTCCAGCAAAGGCAATCTGCCAATTTGTTGCCGATCATTAAAATAATACATCAAGATTAAGGTCATGACTGACTGAAAACCAGCTGCTAACTTGGTCAAATGCCGGAATACATGTATGACCAAAGTGGGTCATAATTAAATATAGTAAATTATTCACATTTATCAGTTACTGCATGCTTTTGAAATCAAGGCCAAACATAATTATTTGACACAACCCAAGATCTAAAATTAAAATCCCTCTGTACCTCTGTTGCTTAACCATTGCTATGAATTAAGTTATACTCATTTTATAACACACTGTGCAATATCTGACATGGATTTATATTGCAAATTTGCTGATTGCTCATTAAGCCTACTTGAGTTATTACAAGTGTGAATAATCAAAGCTCACCATAGACATCATCCAATATTTATAATATATAGATTTAGCCAAGCCTAAAAGCAGAGCTCCTGGGCTGGGCTGGGCCGGGTTGTTCAAAGCCTGATTACATTAAGATAACCCAGGTAAAGCGAAAACTTTGAAATGAATTTTGTAACTTTACAGTGAGGTTTTCTGTATATTGTTTGGCCTTCTGTTTTGAGTTTGAATAATCTCAAAATACACAAAACAAAAGCAGTGAAAAACATTTGTATAGAAGAACTATTTACACTTCTGTTAGCTTTAATCCTGGGTTAGCGTTAATTCACTTCCGAACAACCCAGCCCCGTTTATAACAAGTTAATCTGACATGAGCCTGCAATCCAATAGAAAACCAGCACTTGGTCAGCAGTCAACTTTAAAAAAACAAGTGACCACAAAACTTGAGCCTGCAAAATGGTCAGGTGAAACTGGTCAGCAGATGCCTTGTTTTGACAGGTGTCAATTGACTATAACATGGATGTCCAATATCAAAGAAAGAGGCTATAAATCAAGGCTGTATGTTTCTGGAGTATGGAGTATGGAGTATGGCCGCCATCTTATGTGACTCTGTCGTCATCGTCGTGGTGCGCACACGCCCACAAGCAATACAGCTAGCCATAATAACTATCAAAAAATCAATTCATGGGTTTCCTTTTCTTTCCTATATGGGTATGGGGATCCGCTTGGCAGTCCCTTGGGCCGCCGGGGCTCCCCTATCCTCAGATATTACCGGTACATTGAGCGCTTTACTCCATTATCTGCTTATTACGTAATTATCGTAGCAAACTAAAGTAACGCGCAGTCATCATGTAACTACACGCTAAACTAGAGCAAGACATGCAGACTTGCCACAAGTCTTCCGTTATCCTTCGCTTATTAATCTCCCTCGAGTACAGCGAGAGTGCAATCGGAGAAACCAAAAAGCCGGGGAAAAAATATATATTTGATTAAGACATGGCAATTCGATTGTTGAATGGCAGAAAACAAATGGACGTTGATTGGATGCACGCAACGCGTTGAAAACCTCTTAGACGAACAGATATAAGCTTGTGTTGAGTACCATAAAATTAATAAACCTGCGACCGATTTCAATTTGAAAAATTAAACACAGTGTAAGGATAAAGTTAAGTTTAGACTAGCTGTTACGAACTTTCATTACATGAAATTCAGGTCAACTTTTAGAGGATCGGAGTGAAAATAACAATTATATAATAGAACTTAGCTTGCATTACCATCAAATAAGATCTGCTTGATTTTCGGTTCGTCATCTTTTTCACCACAGCACAATCGCCGGCAGATCGAAGCTCTGGCCTGAGGCACGAAAACATTGATGTTCTTCCACGAAAGAGTGACCTTCTCTCTCAAGTCCCCCACGCTTGTCACGTTGGCAATCACATTTGTGGCGGGATCTTCGTATTTCGTGCTAAAAACCAGGCTGTTTCCACCACCAGTATCTCCTGGAGTAACTGAAATCGTATCGAGGCTCTCCTGGGTTTCTTCATGGTTTATCAGCGTTGGACTGCCGGCCTCCTCCATCTTCTTAGCTTCAAGCTCCGCGTCGTTGCTCTGGTTCGCTGCACAAGATATTTTATTTGAATAAAGACGGGACGTGTCACGCATAGAGGCAAGAGCACAAACATTAGATTAGGTTAAACATTAACTTGACGTGATCTGATCCAATACACGTTTACACGACAGGTGCAGGTGCATATTGAAAGCTTTTGCCGCACAAAAACGAGCGCAAATCATGAAAACATTTCCCTGCATTACATAACCCTTTCCAAACCTTATCTTCGTACTCGAAACCAGAATTTTTAGCACAAAAAGCTTCAAAGAAGAACGAAAGACACATGCAACCCTTATCTGTCCATATGGTAACTGAAAACGAATCAAAGCCCCTGCTCCCACTTCAGGCTTCTTAGTTTATAAGCTTATATTGTTTGTCGCCTGTTCAAATTAAGCCCAGGGTTTAGTGATCGATATTGCTTTGAGGTTGCAACGACATACAAAAGAAATTTCGGCCCTTTGCGTTTTACGGCTTATTGTAAGTAACTTGATAAGCTTAAATTCCACAATCCTTACCGGAACCATTTTTTTCAGGCGCATCGTTTACGTCAACAATTGTCCACATCTCTACGCCAGGATTGTCGGCCATGTTGGAAGATTGGAGATAATGAAAGAAGCTCTCAATTAAATTTGCGTACTGTCCGAACAGGTATAGTTAGGGTGTTTTCCATGAGGTTTTCTAACACCTGCAATTTAGAAAGATTTGCGTAGAAACTAACCAGAAACAATGCAAGCAATCCGCAGCTCCAGGATTCAAATAGCGTTGCTAATTCAGCTAATTTCAGTGACACGCTTTCCGCACGGACGGTTATGCAGAGTGGAGGTTGTGCGGGGGGTGGGGAACGCGGGGCAGCTGGGGTATAGGGCACCATCTTGAGCGGTGGGTCGGGGGAAGCGAGGGAGCAGGGGTATGGGGTATCTTATTGGGCTGTGACCTGCCATACTTTTCAGGCGTTAAGCTGTGTTATTGTCTGCTCTGATCATGACTACCAAGAGATGATCAAGGTAAGTAATTCGATCTTCTGTTGTAACTACCCATTTCCGTGTTCACCATCCCTCAGCCTCTTCGCCCCTCCCCGCCCCCCCCTGACATAATTATTCAGTTTATTACGCAGCAAAAAATTACAGTTTCCAAGCTCAGGCTTCAGCCATGCAACTACTAATTTCAACCAATCATATTGCTGTAACGACCGGCAATTATCCCGAATGACCTGCACTGTCAGTAAGGTTACTTTTATTAAGAGATAACTTCATTGATCTCCCCTGTCAATTTCTGTTTCTTTGAAGTTGTTCGTTTGCTTCTTTTGCTTTGTTTCTCTGCTTTTAGAACCCTTTGGCCTTCCTTCTTTTGCAGTTGAACGAGCCTTAGCTAATCGTATTTGTTGCGGCCGGGCGTATCATAAAAAAATTTAAGAGGCATTTCAACAATTCAATTTAAATATACTAAACTTACAATAGAAGCCGAGTATATATGTGAACATGTTGGAACATGCATGAACCGAGGATTTTAGTATCATTTGGCGTGTCTAGCTTGCGATGCCGCTGGCAGGCGAAGAAATAATGAAAACAAAATAAGATGGAAAAACATTGGGCTGTTGTGTTGGTGTTTTCGATCTACATGTGTCTCAGGCATGAAATTTTTCAAAATCAAAGCATTCAACGACAATGAATTTGCGTTACTAATATGGCTCTTCTTTGTGTTTGAACTGCGTTGGCACTGTATCATTTAATTTAGGCGAGTTTTGAAAGCGTTACGCGGCAGCGCCAAGATTGGTGTCCTTTAGCCGGGTTCGCTAAAACAAGAGTAGAAACACTAAAAAGTAAAAGTAAAGATTTAAGTAAAACAAAGATTTAAGTCTTCATGTTGTTATCAGATCAGAGCTCAGTGGTTAGAGCGCACGCGCGCAGAGATATATTCGAGCCGCCAAGTTGTCTCTATGACGTAAACTTTTCTACTTTGCTCTGCGAAATGAAATGGGCTTCGCTTTGTCGTGTTTATCACAAGAAAAATGTTCTTACAAAAACATGAAACCGTATTGGATCTCTGAAATTATAATCGTAACTTTGTTTAAAATTATGCCTGCTTCAGGAAATGCCCACAGGGAAGGTGAGTCAACTAGCCAAATGGCTTCCTTGTTTTTCTTTCTCGTGTTTCAGTCGCGCATGCTCTTTTAGAGAGGATCAAAGTGCGCGCTAAAATTAGGCAGTCGCGTTTTATCATTTTAGACCACTGTTTCTTGGTCAAACTCGCCAAAATAATGTATTATGATGTTGCGTAGCCAATACTATGTTAACTTTGATTTAAGTAGTTATGAAACTAGTCGATCGAAAGTGTTTCTTTGCTGGCCGCCCATAGACCTTCAGTCAAGTTGTTTGGATTATTGTTGCCATGGTACCTTAACACACGCTATTATATGGTTCTAGAGCGTGCGAAGCCAAGACTAAAACATTTGACAAGCGAGGCTGTTTCGCACGCCCTACAAGAAGTAAAAAATACATCTAGTACCAAGCAGACTAAGGTACCGCGTTGAAATTAAAAATTATTTCAGAGAGCTTCAGTTTAAAACGCTGAGGGAAAAATAATCAAATAAGAAAATCGGGACTCAAACTTGGATTAACGTCTAATCTTGGCTCAGCTAAGTTTGGTGCGTTGATAAAACCTGCGTGACGGCCAAGCAACACGAAGCTAATTAACGTTGATCCTGGTCAGGCATTAACCCTCACTTTTATTTCCGATTTGATTTGATTTGATTTTGATAAGTTGAAGTCAATGTGATACCCCTAGTGTGTTTTACAGCCTCTCTATTTTTCGGCGCATGCCAAAGAAAAAGCGAGCAAAGCGAGCGCGAAGCACGAGAGGGTAGAGGGGCCGAAAAGGTGAGCGAAGCGGGCCAAACGAAGATCTCGGTCCACACGCCCTGCCCTGTTATGTCTCCCGTTTTGCGCTGACGTACAGTTCTCTCGCAATTCTCTCCACGCATTCAACGATCGAATAATATACGAGAAAATAGAGGGCTGTGAACATCTTTGATACCCTAAGCTGTCTTACCCTATTCCGCTACCGGGGACCTGCGACCCGCGAATTAGATTGGAGAAAATCCTGATTTAAGAGACTCTTTCAAGGGGCAAATCATTTCGATCCCCTGGAGTCCATTTGGATTAACAATAAAGTGTAACGAGTTTTGATTTCTTTCTTGCAACTTACAGGTTGT